TTTCTTTATGATAGAGAGGATAATAACAGACAAGTGGGTATTGAATTCCAAAGCAGATCTGCGTGCTCGGTTACCAGTATTACCATATATGAGGCAGATTTTGAAACATATAGAGGACAGACTAGGAGTACATGTTGGCAAACCAAAATATCAAATTTAACTTGTTTTTGGTTATAAGAAACAATAGCCAAAACCTAAAGTGAAAGTCCAGGCAAACAGCTAAGAATACATTTGTAATACCTCTATGTTTACTATTTTAAATGCCAACTTATTTGTAATTTTGTTTGGTTGCTATTTGGTTGTTATTTATTCACTTCTCCCACACTGTACAGCTAGAAAATGGAAAATTCTATCATACTGACTGTTAATTTTCCTTTCCTGGTGCCTATCCATGGCAGCATACAAGTGATAAGCTACACCCCTATCAACATCCACAAGATCAGTTTAAATCTATAAAAGAGAGAGAACCCCACGGGCATTCTAGTAACTAGACTCAGAAGTACCAAGGGAGGGAGTATGCTGCCATGGATGGGCACCAGGAAATGAAAATTACCCATAAGTATGATACAATTTTCCATTTTCTTAGTGCCTTTATGGCAGCATTCAAGTTATAAATAATGAGCTAACAGGGTGGGTTAGATGCAAACATTTATTTATCTACAGACAAAGGAACTTGAATGGTTCTTCTTCCAAAGTCCACTACTACAGTCCCTGGGTCGACTCTATAGTGATATAGAAAAGTATGTTGCGCTGCCCAAAAAGCTGCCATAGCCATGGTCGAATGAGCCCTCACGAAAAGCCGGAGGATGCCATACGCTCTTCTAATTGTCTTTACTATCCAGGTAGACAGAGTCTTTGCCTTTTGCTTCCTTTCCCTTGAATTTTCCTCCCATGATTAAGAACAGGTGGTCTGACCTCTTGAAAGGACTTGTCAGTCTGAGCTAATCTTTTAAGGCTCTGGAGACGTCCAGTTCATGTATGCTTTGTTGTTATCAGGAATGCTGTGAAGTCTGACTATCTATTTCAAGAAGATTTGTGCTGGTTCAGCTGCAGAGGGAGTTCCCTACTGGAAGAAAATGTGCCATTTTAGAAAAACGATCCACCACCACGAAGATCCTCGTAAATCCCTCAGAAGGGGGAAGTTCATCTATAAAATCCATTGAAATCATGCTCCAAGGTTGTTCAGAGACAGGAAGAAATTTCAGCAGACCCCAGGCTTTGGAATTACTTCCCTTATTCCGGATGCAGATGACACAAGAATTTACGTAATTTTTACAGTCAGACCCCAGATTTGGCCAACAAAAGTAACGCTGGATCAAGTTCAAAGTGTTGTGGTTCCCGAAGTGCCCGACCAAAGAAGAGTCGTGACAGAGTCCCAAAACAATAGTGCGGAGGGGCTGGGGCACGAAGATCTTTCCATTATGGAACAATAGTCCAACCTTTTCTTGCACAGGTATATCTTGTGGTAGGGAGTCTCTAGAAGATGCCTGCTGAATCTGAGAAACAAGATCAAGCAAATAGCGCCACTCTTTCCAAGGCTAGTTTAATTGCTAGTTTAATTGCTCCCGATCACAAACATCATAATTTCCTTCCGCAGGACTTAATTTTCTGGAGAAAAAGGCTACGGGGTGCAACAAAAAACTAGGCCCCTGACATTGGGATAAAATGGCTCCTACCACGTTTTTGGAAGCATCGATTTTCAAGAGGAATGGCAGGGTGCTTCAAAATTGGGGCAGATGTGAAAAGTTTTATAGGTTTGTCAAAGACTGATCGTGCCTCTAAAGTCCACTGAAACCCCCCTTGCTTCCTAGTAAGTTGGGTAATAGGGCTGATAGTATCAGAGAATCTCTTAATAAATTTCCTGTAGAAATTGGCGAACGGGGGTGGCTACTCTGAAATTGCAGATACCGTCTGTGGGTCCATGGCTATGCCTTCAGTGGATATAAGGCCCAGGAACTGGATAGATTGTTGATCAAACTCACATTTTTCGGCTTTAGCATAGAGTCCGTGCTGCCGGAGTCTGGCCAGAACTTGAGAAGCCGAGAAGATGAGAAGATGACAAACAAATCTAGAAAGTCCTGAAACATGTCATTGACTAAGTGCTGAAAGGTAGCAGGGGCATTGCAGAGTCTGAAGGGCATGACCAGGTACTCAAAATGGCCAAATCGAGTTCTGAGGCAGCCGTGTGATTAACCAACCCGAAGTAAAGTGAGCCGAACGCTGTTCAGCTATTCATTTTCGGCTTGTACAGCCGTACATCGGCTTGCTGCGGCTGGGTTTGGGTCGACCGAACTTACTCAGCATGTTTGGCCGACCCGAAGTGCAAAAGGAGTTTGACTCAGCCGATCCAACATCTGGATCAGCTGAGCCGAACCTCCGGCAGGCTACTCGCTGCTGTTCGGCCTATTCTCATAGGGGCCGAAAAGCAGTGAGTGAATAGTTGAATGCCACCGAGCGGCATTCGGCTCAGCTATTCTGCTCGGTACCTCTGTGGTACCGAGAAGAATAGAAAAAGTAGGAAAAAAAGGAGAAAATGATTGGGCGGAGCTAGCATTGACAGCTAGCTCCCCCATAGCTTGTCGGAGCCGGCGGTGATATCAAAGCCTGCTCCGACATGCTCTCATGGCAGTTCAGCATCCCCTGGTCACTAGGTAACCAGGAGATGCTGAGCTGTCATTACACACCGAGAACCCGGCGGAGCCACTGTGATATCATGGCAGCAACTAAGGGTTAAGGTCTGGTAGGAATTTTAAGGAGGAACCCCAGCCCCAAAAATGGGAGGAAAAAACGTGGGGTCTTCCCTGAAATTCCCAACCAGACCCTTGATCCGAGCACAGGCCTGACAGGGCAGGAAAGGGGGGACGAGCGAGCGCCCCCCCTCCTTGCGATACCAGGCCACATGCCCTTGACACTGGGAGGGTGCTTTTCCAGGGTCGCCCCTGGAAAAGCACCTTGTCCCCGTGCCTATAGAGACAAGGGCCTCTTCCCCACAAGCCCTGGGGCGTTGGTTGTGGGGGTGCGGGCTGGGGGCTTATTCAGATCAGGATACCCCTTTAACAAAGGGGCACCCAGATGCAGCCCCCCCCTTGTTAATGAGTAAGGGGTACTTCACAAAAGGGTTCAATGTTTTAAAAAAGAGGCCACACTTTTGAAAAAATCCTTTATTTGAAAAAAATTGTGGTCAGGTGCAAGGCTTTAGCCAATCAGGGCTCACAAGGCACAGTGCCTTGTGCAGGGCACTTGCCAGGTGAACTGTCCTCTATCTAAATTGCTACTCACATCCTCATAGAATATTTATAGGTTGGTCTCACAAGAACAGCCTTTTCAAATTCATGGTTTTTACGTATGATACAATTTTTGCAAATAAATCCTTTAAATATAGTCCCTTACCATTCCCTCAAACACTTTACATACTATTGATGTTAAGCTGACTGGTCTGTAGTCTCCCGGTAAATATCTTGAACCTTTATTGATTTCCTGGTTGATATTGGATATATGCAATTGGAAGCATTATATCCGAAGGAAATCAATGAGAAAAGTGACCTAACTGTATTTCTGTTAGTTATTGTTGAATGAAGTCCATTGCAGATCCTTTATCAAGCATTTCATTTAATATTTTACACTGTATATGTTATCCACTTATTATATATGCATTAGGTAATTAGGTTTCCCACAAGGAATCCTAATTATGTTTTTATATTTTTATCCCTTGAAGACCAGACAGGTGGGCCTGTGCCTGGACCACTAATGACCAGAAGATGTTTCTGGAAGATACTTCCTGAAAGATCATTTTTAATAAATGGAAGGCCTCAAAGATGCAAAGGCCTCAAAGATGACCAAATAATGACCCAGCCCCCCCCCCCCTTCCCCTGAATATAATCCTTTTATGAACTTGTAGGCCCTTCTCAAACAGATCAATATACTTAATATGCCTAATAATTCCACACATTAATATTTGCCTAATAATTATGCATATTAGTAGTTGCCTAATAATGTTTTACACTTGTATTTTTTCCCAAAGAAAGACAAAACTCACTTTTTCTTTTGTTAAACTTTTAGGTTTAATGTAAAATAAAAATAATAACCAAGTTGCCACATTTGAAAAGCAGACTTGGCATTTTAGCTGCAAGGTCCACTTTTACTGTCTCTGAAACATCAAATAGACATAAATTAATATTTTCAGTATCTTAGTTTGGGTACACATATGTTTTGGGTACACATTTAGGTAAGGTTAAAATGGATAAAAAAATGGCCAAACTCTGAATATGTTTTGTAAACTCATATGGTTTACAAAACACAACAAAGTATACAGTATACAATTCAGAGTTTGGCCATTTTTTAATCCATGTCAAAACCTTAACCTAAATGCAAAAGAGAAATCTTATAGTATAATTACAATAGAACAATACAAACTAATAGAAAATGAATGGTTTGACAGAAGTTTATTATGGTTAAAGATGGTTCAATTACCAGTATTTACTGCAACGTTAGTGATAAAGTAGATACTATTTTCTACTAGATTTACAAATAACCATATGCCCAGAAATTACATGAATTTTAAAACTGCATGAAATTATTAATTTTTTTGCTCTGGGTGCATTAAAGGTGCATTGCAATCAAAATGGAAAATAAACCTTAGGATGCTTACAGGGAGAATAGCATACCTGCACCGTAGTTCAGATTTCAGCCAGATATTGCTGTAGTACACCAGTACTACCCAGTCCACCCCATTCCGTTTTGTCTGAAAATGGTAATCCTGAGAACACACAAGCTGGTGATGCTGGAAAACCCTCTTTGCTGCCTTTCACACACACTGAAAACCTGCTATAAAAATGCTAATCATAAAATGTTTGTCAATGCCACAAGTTTCTAACCAGCATTTGAATTTTGAATGTAACTTGTGAGTTAGGAAGCAGAAAGAGGGTATTACACAGTACAGACTATAGGATATAATTATTTACAGACCCTCAGTGTGTGCGCATCATCTGCAGGAGAGATGATCATATATTAAGATATTCTAGAACAAACACCAGAACAATTTTTTTGATGTTGTCAATAGATGAAGAATCCAGGTTTTCTTCATTATCTTCAAATGTGTGCCAAACAGCTGGAAATGGTGATGGAATAAGGTGCAGGACTGAAACACCTGTAACAAAATAACTGAAGTTAATACACGTGCCAGAACTAGTAAGCAAATGTGTAACACTGCGGTTGCCTTGATCAAGCTGTGTCCCCCAATGGGTTTTGAAAAAATAGAAATATTTGGGTGTGATTATTTAAAATCCATCTAAAAGTAACATATACAGTAGGCTTTAGTAAAATTACAATGCTGGCAAGATGGTTGGATGAGTACAGCACAGTTTCAAGCTGATTGCAATATCATCTTCCCGTAGCCTTCTGAATGTTGCTAATGATCTTTGCATCAAAAAAAGAGAAAAAGGTGGGGGTTTTTGAGCACCGAATGACAACTCCAAAAGACAGTAGACCGTAAAAATTGTTAATTTTAATGTTGATAATATTTAAAAAAAGGGCTATATATAGCATAAAACAATCAGCTGGTGACGAGGGAGCATAGAACCGGCTTTCTGGCCAATTTAGGAAGCCGGGGGGAGTAAGGACTCACCGCCTGGCTTCCTGATTGGCCACCTTCCCGACCAATCAGGAAGTTGGGCGGCGAGTCATTACAAGGAGGCATTGAGTCGGCTTCCTGGCCAATCAGGAACCCGGGCAGCATGTAATGGCTCGCTGCCCGGCTTCCTGATGCTGGAAGTTTCGGGATAAGTATCGGGAGCAATTGGGGCGAGTACAAGTACTTGCCCAAATACTCTAGTTTTGGTGCATCCCTACTAATTAGGTTAATTGGCAACAGGTCAGTAACATAATTGGGTATAAAAAAAGTGTCTCAGAAGTAAAGTGTCTCAGAAGTAAAGATCGGCAGAGGTTCACCAATCTCTGAAAAGCTGCGTCTACAAATTGTCAAACAATTTCAGAATAATGTTTCTCAACGTAAAATTGGTAAGACTTTAAAAATATCATCATCTACAGTACATAATATCAACTCTGTGCAAGGGACAAGGCCGAAACACAATATTGGATGCCTGTGATCTTTGGGCCCTCAGATGGCACTGTATTAAAAACAAGCATGATTCTGTGATGGACATCACTGCATGGGCTCAGGAAACCCAGTTCGCAGCAGGGGCGGACTGACAACACATGGGGCCCCCGGGCAATATGATATTATGGGGCCCCCCTCGTGCTCCACCCATATACAAGCCCCTCCCATCCACAAGCCTCACCCGGATGAATATTCATGTGTTATAGAAATGATTTCTCCCATTATTTAGCAGGCCTATTCCCTAAAAGGTGAATTGCAGGGGAATTGGTAGGATAATTTAAAAATCTAGACCAATATCAGCAATTTGGAAAGTGAGCACAGCAGACTTCAGACCAGCACCAATGTATGGCAGACCTCAGACCAGAACCAATACATGGCAGATCTCAGACCAGAACCAATGCACGGCAGACTGGGCAGTTAGAATGACACATACACAATAACATCTCTGGGATTGGCCATCACGCTTAGCCTGTCCCTGTCAGACTGTGGTCCAGCGGGTAGGTGCAGCAGACCACCCCACAGGAGACTAGGCCCCTGATGTGGAGGGTCTCAGGCCCCTCATTCTCCCTGTAAACATCCTAAGGTTTATTTTCCATTATGATTGAGACTGGTCTAACCAGGGGCAGATGTGGAGGGTCTCACCAGTGGCAGATATGGGGGGACTCACCAGTGGCAGATGTGGAGGATCTCACCAGGGGCAGATGCGGAGGGTCTCACTAGTGGCAGATGTGGAGGGTCTCAGCAGGGCAGGTGAGATGGGTCTCAGCAGGGGCAGGTGCGGAGGGTCTCACCAGTGGCAGATATTGAGGGTGCAGGGGCAGATGTGGAGGGTCTCCCCAGGGGCAGATGTGGAGGGTTTCACCAGGGGCAGATGCTCAGGGTCTCACCAGTGGCAGATACGGAGGGTCTCACCAGTGGCAGATGTGGAGGGTCTCAGCAGGGTAGGTGAGAAGGGTCTCAGCAGGGGCAGGTGTGGAGGGTCTCAGCAGGGCAGGTGCGGTGGGTCTCAACAGGGCAGATGCAGAGGAGCAGAGCAGATGCAGAGGAGCGCAGCAGGGAAGATGCGGAGGAGTGCAGCAGGGACAGATGTGGAGGATCACAGCAGGGGGCCAGCACTGTAAACAGATGCCACTGTGGTTCCCTGGAAGGCTGCCGCGAGGTCCCCAGCAAGCGTGGCTCCTAACGGCAGCCAAATCTATTTACAAATGCAATGTGCCATGTCTCCTCCAATAATGGGGGGGAGGCTGAGACTGGATCTCACTTTGGACCCTGGGCAAGCATTTTCCTGGGCCCTAAAAGGCTAAAAACTCACAGTAAAGTGCAGTGTGTATAAGTATATCACAAAAACTGCGGCTAGGTTCAGATATGGGCGATCCTGGGATTGTGCACAATTGCACACAGTGATTGCTGTGCGGCCCCATTGATAAAAAAGCAGCGCGTCGTGTGTCACGAAAAAAGGTACATGTGCCTTTTTTTAGCGATTGCCGCATGGATGAATGCGATCGCGCTGCACGATTGCCATTACCCACGATTGCCGACAGCAATTGCACACTAAACTTCCCCCTTCATTCTGGGGTGGGAGGGGGCGTTGCGGGGCATTGAAGTCAATGGCACCGCAGCCACGTTCCCCACCTGCAGTGCGATCGGAAGCGTGGCAAAACATTGCATACGTTCCAATCCACTGCGAATGCAAAAAATAGAGCATGCAGTATTTTTTTTTTTGCGTTCACACTGAACAGGAACGCAGGCAATGTTTTGCCACGTGTCTAATCGCAGTGCGGGCGGGGGTGTGGCTGCGGTGCCATCGACTTCAATGCACCACCACACATCCTCCTGTCCGAGAACGAAGGGGAAAGTTTTGTGAGCGATTGCGGTGCGTTCCAGCAGGTACCGCTCTGGAACGCACCGCAGTTGATGTGAATGGGCCCTAAAAGGTGTTTAAAATAGAAGTAAATATTAAAAATATATATTATTATTATTTACACACCCAGAAAAATGTTATCATAATATTTAATTTTACTAAACCAATTTATTTTATTTCCTACCACCAGGACGCCATGCTTGGGAGAGGAGAGGCTGGACGGTGACGGTTTGGGGGCCCGCTGGCCAGAGCGGACCAGCCATGTAAAGTATTACACAAATGTCTTCACTGTGGTTAAGTATCCAGTATTTACAATATGTTGCTCACGTTTGAGAAAGTTAGGTGTCGCATACTGCAAGGGTGGATGCACAAACACAAATAGTTTGATACACAAACACCAATAAGGTTCGATATTTGGAGGTCTGATCCACATCCAGGATACCTCCCAGTTGGTAGACACATAGAGTGCCCCTATTGATTGATAGTTGTTGACCTAGTGCGACAAAGCCTTCCCCCATCTCATAACCTCCTACCCACGCAAGATAGAGCGGGACTTAGACAGGTACCGACGTGATTCTTGGGAACCTGTGAGACACCTGATCGGAGTTAACTTGTCCCACTGACCCCACAGAGCCAAACACACTCCCCCAGAGTGAGGCAATAGTGAGTGGCACTCGTTACCACTCACGTTCCAGGTTGCCCCCTATGTAAGCTCCTTACTCTCTGGACCTCCACCTCGGAACACGGAATATCGCCCGAGTGGTTGGAAAAGGGAAGGGGAGTTTATTCGTTGTTTGTTGGTTAGTCTTGTCCACCTACCCCCGTCCACCCTCTTCCTTGGATACCACCGCACAGATACTACCCCATCGCTGCAAATAGACCAGTCAAATTAACAGCGAGAGAGAAACTTACCCCATCACTTTCACCCCGGTCACCACCACCCCCCAGTACCCACTCATTGAACGGACCCCTGCTGCATAACACCGCCGCTTTGCCCTCTGTCCCTGCACCCTCAATAGGACCGATATGTCATCCCTCACTGACCTAAGAGTAATGACACTGAACGCCAGGGGCCTCAATATGCCTGAGAAAAGGTCACTCATAATAGAGGATGTTAAGAAAGCCAGGGCGTCAGTGGCCTTTACCCAAGAGGCCCACTTCCGCACAGGGACCATACCTAAATTCTCTAACCCTCATTACCCTAAGGTGTACCATGCGACCTCATCATCTAGTAAATCTAAAGGTGTTTCGATTTTGTTTCATAGATCACTGACTTTCGATCTGTCAGACTCCATATCGGATGGCGAGGGTAGGACAACCTGAAAGGACAACTCAACACTATTCCGGTAACGTTGGCAACGGCATACTTCCCAAACGCACAACATACAACGTTTCTGACCAACTTTTTAACACTCCTATCTGACTTCACAGAAGGTATGTTGATTCTATGGGGTTACCATATAGGACTCTTAAATTCATGAAAAAGAAACTGGCATCCCTGAACCTCTGTGATGCATGGAGAACCCTGCATCCGGAAGGACGGGATTACACCTACTTTTCACCCCTACACGCGAAATACACTCGTATCGATTACATCTTCATATCCCAATCAGACTTACCTAGACTTCAGACCTCGACAATTGGACTGATGACTACCTCGGACCACGCTCCAGTAGTGATGACACTATCCTTGGGCCCTGCTACGCGGAGGCAAACTTTGTGGAGACTCAATCCATCTCTGCTCACAGATGCGTCCGTTTTGTCGAAACTAACGCACAATCTGAAAGAGTACTTTGCTCTCAATGCAGTGACAGACACGGAACCCACATATGTATGGGAAGCCCATAAATGCTTCATGAGAGGGAAATTTATGCAATATGCAGCACACAACAGAAAACAGCAGCAGAAGACGGTAGCGGATCTTCTGCTGTGCATAGCTGGATTGAAACAGTCTCACAAACAATCCCTGGCACACCAAACACTAGTGGACTTAAAGGAGAACTTTTCACTCACCTCACAGTTCTAGCCGACCTGTGACAATGAGACTGTCACAGGTCGGCTCAGTAGATCGGGAGGTGAGCGAACACATACCGGGTTCGCTCACCTCTCGATCCTGTCACGGCTCTCTGCCGTGACAGGGGAAGGGGCTGGATTCCCCTCTCCCCGCTCC